TATTCACTCTTGAGTCAATAACCAGGGCACAAATTCGAGGTATGAAACTTTCCACTACTTGCTTTTTACCTGAATAAAAGTGTTAAATTATTGATAAATGTGTATTTTAAATTCTTTTAAAAGACAGTCTTTACTTATATGAGTTAATGTAAAGGAAGTACTGGTTCAGTTGAGAAGGTTGACTTGACAGGCCTGGGCATCAGGAAGCATACAATTCAGTCCTGGTTCTGCTATGAACTAGCTATGTGTGTGGCTTTGGAAAAAAACACACACAAAACCAACAGATGTGACTGAATTCTGGCAAAGAAATCCAAATCCAGCTTCTTCTTTCAGGCACATAAGGCACTTTTCTGAATGAAATAAATATCATTCAAAAGTGTAAACTTCTATATTGAGATTTTTAGAAAACTGACCTCATTAGTACTAATAACTCAAAAATTCCATAATAGCCATCAACACTTCTGAGCAATTCCTAAAAGCTAACCGTATTCTCAAAAGACTAGGCTTTATCAATACTAAATATATTTAAAGAAATTTTCCACATGCTATTTCATAATACAAAATTTAAAAATGCCAATACTGTAACAGAACATTCCAAAGTGACCACATTAAAAAAAATTACTCAATTAGGGGAAAAGATATAATAATTTACTTTTAAAAAACCCTGTTAGATCACTTTATAATCAGTAGTGGTTTAAGACTGTTTTCTACTCTAAAAATGTAAGAATTCAGGCTAGATTGCAAAGAAATCATTGAAAAAGTAGTAGCTACTATTGAAATAAACAGTAATTGATTTTTTTTTTTTAGTGATACATGGGTATATTTTAGAGAAAACTGCTTAGTAAGGCTACTTTAAAGTGGGTTTTGAGGTTAAGACCTAAATAAATTCAATAGTGAGTCATGAGAATATCTGAGGTAGATCATTCCAATGTGAGGAGATGGCAAGTGCTAACACAGAGAGCAAAGTAACAGTGATCAATGAGATACTGTCTCCAAATGAGGTCAGAGAAGTTAGGTCTCAAAGACATAGTAAACAATCTTGATATCTAGACAACCACATTTAGCTAATGATCAATGGCCTAAAATTTTATATCTATGTAATTCTCAACTATCATATGATTTCTTTTGTATAGTAGTTCAACTAAAAGCACATATGATCTTTCAAAGACATTTTCAAAAATGTTTAAAAAATGAGGGACAAATTAAAACTTTTTCAAAATGTAAACTTATTTTGAGAAGGTGACTACATAAAAAGCAAGTCTATTAGTTTTTCCATCTTATAGGGAAATCTCCATTAATTTTTATTAAATTACAGCTAACAAAATAGCAACTGATCTTTAACATTTTGGCTTTGATGGCAGCAAATAGCAGCTGTTCCTTTATGTATAAATAATTCAACAGCCTCAGTTACCAATTCTAGTTAATTCTTTCTCAAGCAACACAGAGATAAACATAACTTGGACTGACCGCTTTTCACAAGACACCTGCTAGCCATAAGTGAAAGGAAGAGTTCTCAGTGGACTATTGAAAATTTTGTTCCATTAGCTCAAGGGTGGGCAAACTATGGCCCATGAACCAAATTCAACCCACCGCTGATGAATAATACATTTCATCAGCAAGTACTCTGGAAATGTTTGAATCTATCATGTTTTATTGAACTAGTAGCATCAAGGTGAATTTCATTTACTTTCATGAACTTAGCCATCTTCAGTTACCAGTGAATGATTTTGGTAATAGCTTGTGCTGCAGAGTCAATAATGTTTCTTAATGACCTCCACCCAAAATTACAAGGCAAAAATGTGCTATATAAGAAACTTATAATTCAGTAAAGTCATTTTAATGACACTAAATGAAGTTATTTGCATTATAAGTAATGCCAAGCTTCTTTCTGTACTTCCTGGGTTGTCAAAAACTAAAACAAGAATTGACATCTCCATTCCCACACACATATTTTTAGGGGATTTTTTTTTTTTCAAGTTCCAACTACAGGTCCAGCAGCATTTTTAGACATTGATATAAGTGCAAGGGAAAGTTTCCATATGTTGAAATCTTTTTAATTGTAGAGATGAGGAGCTTCTACTTAACCTTCAATTAAAGTGATTAATCTGCAGTGCAATATTTTAAAAGGCAAATATTAAGAAAATAACTTAATATAATTCTATAAATGCTTTCTAAGTGATGAATATGCTCAATTAAGAATCATGCTTATAGCCCTGGCTGGTTTGGCTCAGTGGATAGAGCGTCAGCCTGCGGACTGAAGGGTCCCAGGTTCGATTCCAGTCAAGGGCATGTACCTCGGTTGTGGGCACATCCCCAGTAGGGGGTGTGCAGGAGGCAGCTGATTGATACTTTTCTCTCATCAATGTTTCTAACTCTCTATCCCTCTCTCTTCTTCTCTGTAAAAAATCAATAAAATATATTTTATAAAAAAGAATCATGCTTATAAACTTATAGCAGTATTTGTCATTGGCATGAAAAGATTTTCTAATGCAATATATATATATATATATATATATTCTCATTACATATAAGCATCAATAAATGAATATAATCAATTTTGACTAGAGCAAAAACTAACTCTGAATCTGAATAAGTGAAATATCATCCCCTCAAAAAAGAGTGCTATTTTCACATTAGTATACCTGTATTACAAAAACATCATACTCAATTATTATGTTTTGAATTGCACCAATAAAACATTTGTGGAAATGTGTTTTCTTTCTTGTTATAGTACCTACATATTATCCTCAATTTTTTTTTCTGGCCCACAAAACCTAAAATATTTACTATATGGTCCTTTACAGAAAAAGTTTGTTGATCCCCAAATTAGATAATGAATTCCTAATATTGGGAAAATTGCTATGAGAATTGCAAAATTATACTAAAACTCTAACTGCAAATTACTGTTCCATAAAAGAAAATGTTTATTATACCTTCATCATGGATGCCATATACAACCTGAAAAGCAAGGAATAATATCAATATTTTACTCTCTTATATTATAAACCATTATAAATAGTATTAAAATAACAGGTTAAATTTGAACTCACCACATAAGTACTAATTATTTAATTACATTACACAAGATAAATGCTTTACAATCTGAATAGGTTAATCCAACCAAGTCACAAGCCATTCTGTTACTGTCTTTTAGGCTTAAGGCATATAGAACACAAACTGTTTTTATTTATTTTTAATTTAATTTTTTTCATCATGAACTGTGTTTTCTTTTTCTTTCTTTTCTTTGTTTATTGTTTAAAGTATTACAAATATAAGCATAACCAATGGACGCAAGACACTGGGAGGGGGTGAGGGCATGTGCTTGGGGGTAGGGGAGGCTGGGAGAAGGTCAATTGTGGGAAAAAAAAGTAGACATATGTACAAGTTGTTTTTAAATAAAGTGCTCACTTAGGCAGCATATATACTAAATAAGCACAAGCTTTATAACATTGGTTAATCAATGTGATTTTACCATCAAAAGATCAAATAAGTCTTCTATCATATTTATAAGAGCTTCATCTTTTGAAGTTCCTCGACTCAGAATTATCTCCTTGGATTTTTCAAACCAGGCAACCATGTAAAGAAAAATGTATATTAGTTATTTTAAATTCAATTTTGAGAATGTACTTATCTATATTTGTATAAATAGTAAACCTAGGAATAAAGAAATAACAAAAATAAAAATTCCAGTATTGTATCAAAATAAATTTATACTTTCAAAACATCGTGATTGTTTTTGTTTTTTTGGTAACTCACTCTATTTGCCCATTGTTTGAATGGGAATGGATAAAGTTAATACTAATTCCAGGTAGAAGACCTTTATTTCCCCCTTCAAATTCCTTGTTCAGATACATTCATATATTAGATGAAAATAATAATCACAAGTTAGATTATTTTGGCACTGTTACTATTTGATAATTTTTGGTATTTTTCACTTTTATTAATTAAAATATTTGAATATAAACTACATCTCAGATACTGTTCAGGGCACTGGGTATACAGCAACGAACAAAACAAACAAAAATTAATGCCATACATTCTAGTATGGCAGACAGACAATAAATATTAAAAAATAATAAAGTCAGATAGTGATTAAGATGAGCTAAAGAGAAAATAAAGCAAGTAAAGTCGCTAGAGAGTCTTGTGGCCTTAAATTCACATGATTATCAAGGACCCTGTGAATAGTTTCCTTGTGACATACTACAGGTTATAAAAATCTTTATTGTAACTCAAAGTTTTATATAAAGTACCCAAATTTATTTTTCAACTGTTTGAAGCATTTACTTTATTAGAAAGCACACCTTTAATAATATTTCCCTCATATGAATGTTACATAGTCTATACTTATCTTTTGGACTAGTCCTTGTTTTATCAAAGTTAGAAGTCCAACTTGCCCCAAAATACTGATATTCCTGCTACATCTTCCAAAAGAAATCAAAATGATTGAAACAGTTCGGATATCCTTTTTATTAAGTTCCTGAAATGAAAAGTATATATTTAAACATCTGTTAACACAAAATAGCATGGAACTGGCTAAGGACTTTATAATCCTCACAAATCCTGAAAGCTATAATCTTAATCTTCAAGGACAAAGGACAAAATGTGGTTTAAAAAAAGCAACTTGTCTAAAGCCAGTAAATGACAAACTCAGTACAAAAATGCAGATCTAGTAGTTGGTTGGCGTATCATCCCATACACCAAAAGGTTGTGGGTTCGATTCCTGGTCAGGGCACATACCTAGGTTGCAGTTTTGAACCCTAGTTGGGATGCATATGGGAGGCAACCAATCAATGTTTCTCTTTCTTTCTTTATTTCTCCCTATCATCAATAAAAAACATATTCTCGAGTGAGGATACAAAATGCAGATCTGTATAAATTCAAGAAACTTTAGACTATGATACAAAGTTACTTTCCATTCTAAAAAGCTCTAGGTATTTAACAAATAAAATAAATTTTTACGCAATCTTTTAGAGTCAAAGCAAATCTCAAATACTGGGAGAGATTGTCAATAACCACATTTTCTTGCATATAAACCTGTCTTACAAAGTCCAAGGTTTTGGATATTATTTTTATATTTGCAAGCAACAAACTTTGTCCATATAACATGCAGAATATATTGATAGGCTTTTTAAAAAGAGATTAAATTGTTTAAACTTCCAAGATGTATACTATTTTTCACAAGTGGTAACTCTGCAAACATAGCTATTTTAGTACTTTATTTAGAAAATGGTCCAATATGCTATTTGGAGCTTGTCAAGTTAAAAAAAAAGCAAGTGGTAAAATAAAGATTTATTTATATAATTATAAGTGAGTTTGCCAAAGGTCTTTATTCATTTCTTTCCAATGGTACTTTCCTGGAAAGTAGACTGCTATCTAATAATGATAACAATAATTCAACAAAAATAAATATATTTACCCTGCATATAAGGTCATCCAACTTGTGGAAAAACTGTTTGCTGCATTTAATCTTCACATCTTCACAAACATCAATTTGTAGAAGTGTTTTCAAAGGTTTGAAATCATTTTTTCTTAAAGCATCATCAATGCATTTTTCCAACTGCTAGAGAAATGCAATTAATGGCACATATATTGAATCAAAACGAAAATTATTCACCTTATGCAATCTAGTAATTTGAGAATGGTTTTCACATGAAAATTCTCAAAAGAATTTATATAATATCAATGCACACTTATTTTTCTTAAACTGCCCACTCTTAAATTTGGAGTAGTCAGATTAAGTTTCTTTGATAAGATTCTATATAAGAAAAATATATTTTACTAATTTTCCACTTCATGTCTTAAATTGGAAAGTCATCATTATGTTGAATTCAACAAAAACCTGTAAATGAAAGAAGTTAAATAAATTTTATGGTAAATAATCTGTAATACCATGGATAAAACTTAAATATATCTATCAACTTCTTAATGAGATTTAAATGTATAAAAATGCATAGATGGTTAAAAGCACTATTTAGAAAGTATACCAACCAATGAGTTAAGCATCTCTCTCATACAAACACAATATTTATTGTATTACATATTTATAGTCATGTGCCACATAATGAGGTTTGGGTCAACAACAAACCACATATATAATGGTGGTCCCACAAGATTATAATGGAGCTAAAAATGCTCCTATTGCCTAGTGATATCATAGCCATTGTAACCTCGTATCACAACACGTTGCTCACATATTTGTGTAAACAAACCTATTGCACTGCCAATCATAGAAAAGCACAGCACATACAATTATGTATAGTACATAGTACTTGATAATGATAATAAATGACTATGTTACTGGTTTATGTATATTTACTGTACTATACTTTTTATTACATTAGAGTATACTAATACTCTTTCTAATTATAGATATCTGCTGTAAAACAGTATGCCATTAGGCCTGCAAGCAGCCTCATACATCTCATGTTTATTACATCTTCTGAATGCATAATTTTCTCTTATGTTTGATTTAATCTCATGTTGTTTTATAAATTTAGTTTAGCCTATGTGTACAGTGTTTATAAAGTCTGCATTAGTGTACAGTGATGTGCTAGGCTTTCAAAATCCCTCACTACTTACTCATTGACTCACTCAGAGCAACTTCAATTCCTGCAAGCTCCATTCATAGTTAAGAGCCTATAGAGCTGTACCATTTTCCATCTTTCATATCATATTTTTACTGTACCTTTTCTATGTTTAGATACACAAATACCATTGTGTTATAACTGCCTTAATATTCAGTAAGTAACAAGCTACACAGGTTTGCAGCCTAGAAGCAACAGGCTACACACCATATAGCCTACGTGTGTAGTAGACCACCTAGGTTTGTGTACATGCACTATGGTGTTCACACAACGACAGAATTGCCTAATGACGCATTTCTCAGAAAGCATCCCCATCATTAAGCAGCGCATGACTGTATAACCTTTACAAAATCTGTCATTCCAGGTATTAATGTAAACATCATTAATAAGTAATTTTCATACTACAATCTGATCATCAGACTTTGGAGTAAATTGCATAGCAATTAAATAGATAAAACTTAGTCTTTACCTAAATGAAGTATCTTACCATTTTAAACTTTGATATGATAATATTCAGGCATAAGTTTTAAACATGAATCAATGCATGATTCTTTTCAATATAAAAGATATATAGATACACACACACATAAAGAATTAGCGTCTATAATTTAAATATTTTTAAATATTGAAAACAAATCTATTAAAAATAAAAAGATAACATTTGCATTTATTCTCCTCTTGACCTCTTCATAAAAACAAGAAAGCTTGCCTTTCTTAAAAATATAGCACTTAATACCAATGAACAAACAACAAATGATTTTAGAGACTAAAATAAAATACTTGCTTTTGGTCCAGGACTACATACCTGGAGATCTGGTCTTATTGGCATTTTGATTTAATTTTTAAAATGGCAGGTCAAAACAAACACCTATAAAAGAAAACATACACTCTGTATCTTACAATCTGTTCTACATATTTAAAATCTTAATACACATACATATGCATTGCTGTTTATAGCAAAGGCAATAAATATTGTTTCTTCAATTTCCTCGCTGTTTATGAAATTACTCATTTTAATTTGGCCAAAAAAGTTTCTGGAGAAAAGCCTGAATAGCATTTATTCAAGCTTTTACTTGTTTATGAACTACTTAAACGACAAAAACTCTGCTAAAAGGTCACAAAACTAGTGAAAGAAAAATCGGGATCTGCCTCATCCTAGAGTCTTGCTATATTTGTTTCAATTTTGGGTAAAAGAAGAAAAATAACCTTGAATTATTGTCTAAATGATATTCAGACTTATAAACACAATAGGTGAAGAAGGGAAGAATATGCGAGTATGTTACCAAAGAACAGGATATATGGGAACACACAAAAATACAATGAGAAGAGTGAGGAAAAGATAACCTAAACACATTTTCTCTTAAAAAGAGAATGGAAACAAGAAACAATGCGGTTACATGAAGCACCATCTACCACCTTAACAAAAGTCTCTAAAATTTCCAAATGCAATTTGGAGGTTAGCTCTATAAAGGAAAAGAAATACTACAATCTTTTCTAGATATCACGACTAGAACAATTTAAAATTAATCTACTATGTAACAGAAACACTAGGACATCCAACATAGAGAGGCAATTAATTCATTAATCCAACAGGAATAGAGGACTGTGTACTTATAAGACAACAAGAGGCATTACTTTACTTTCTTGCAGATATGGCAGTAGAGAAATTTAAGTGTCAACGAGGATATACATATAAGGCAAACAAAAAGGGTGAGTAAAAATAATCTCTTGCATTTCCAAAGATTAACTCTAGGGAAAAAGTTCTGATCCCCAAAGAAATATTTGCTCTATGTACATAAGAAACTAGGTCTAAAGATGTTTTTGCAGCATTGTTTTGAGTGGCAATGATTCAAAAGCACCTAGATGGGATTTGGGAATGAGAGGAGCATGAGAAATAAATAAATACAATGTGGTAACTAATTTTGTGAATATAATAGTCAAATAAAAAGGCCCAGAATTTTAGGTATTTGTATTAAATTTTAAGTGATTAAAAATATGTTGCTAAATGATACAGTGAAAAAAGAAACTGTATCATTTATATGTCTGGGTATATGCATGGACATATACACATATTTGTGTGTGCATGTGTGTAGACAGACAGACATTCACATATACCAGTGGTCAGCAAACTCATTAGTCAACAGAGCCAAATATCAACAGTACAACGATTGAAATTTCTTTTGAGAGCTAAATTTTTTAAACTTAAACTATGTAAGTAGGTACATTGTTATTAACTTAATTAGGGTACTCCTAAGCTGGCCTTTGCTAAAAACATCCTCGATCTGAGGGGTTGACCTCAGCGAACGTACCCCCACTTCTTCAAAATAGACTCGCCCAGGCCGAAAACCGACTTCTGCGCATGGGCCATGAAGTTTCAATTGCACTGTACGTGCACGCCCGCACATGGTATTTTGTGGAACAGCCACACTCAAGGGGCCAAAGAGCCACATGTGGCTTGTGAGTCGTGGTTTGCCAACCACTGACCTATACCAATCAAGACAGTTGGAATGCTTATCAGGCTCATTGGAGAGGAGCAGTAAGGAGTTGTACAGAACTGTAAACTGTAAACTATTTGTCAAAGTAAGACTTTAGTTTTATTTGTAACTTATATTTATACTAGAGGCCTGGTACATGAATTCATGCAGGGGTGGGGGTGGGGAAGGGGCCACAGGAGGTTGGCGGGCAGGCCCTAATCCAGTTGTGTACATGTGCTGAGGTAGTGGCAAGCAAAGACCACAGACAGAGTGCTCCAAAATGGCCTCAACACCAGCTATGCTCTGAGGTGGAAATACAGCTCTATATTGCTGCCCACCCTCGGGCATCTCACTCTCCCCAGGGCAGAGTTGCTGACAGACAGGTCATCTCTCCTACCTCTGCTGCACATTTTTTGGGGGCTCTGCTTCCAAGCATGATAGGTAGCTGACTTTGGCCAATGGTGGCACACTGCTGTAGGAGCACTAGCCAATTAGTGGTTGGGAGCCCAGAAAGATGCGGGGCTGAGCTAGAAGTGGCTGACAGGGGCAGAAGGGCGAGTGGCACTATGTGGTGGCAGAGGTAAGGTGGCGGTGGTGCTTACTTTGCATCTTTGCAGTTAGGCTGCTGCCTTGCCCCTTCTGCCCCCTCTGAGCTGCTACTCTGTTTCAATCAGCGTAAGGTTCGCTCTCTTCCTACAGACTTCCCAGACCCGGATTCTCTTGTGCCCAGAGCCTTAGCCTGGGGGAGGGACTGGCCGGGGGAGGGACCGCAAGAGGTTGGCTGTGGGAGTGCACTGACCACTAGGGAGCAGCTCCTGCATTGAGCATCTGCCCCCTGGTGGTTAGTGCACGTCATAGTGACCGGTTGTTCCGGTCCTTTGGCAGTAACAGTTGTTTAGGCTTTTATATATATATAGATACCTTACTAAAAGTATAGTAAATTCTTGCCAAAATGCAGGTAAGCGACATCCAAAACATGGGATCAGTAAATTGTGGGTTTGAGTTATTGTGAGGAAACTGAAATGACCAAAGCTAGCCTTTGCAGTTAAACATCTAGGAGTCCAGCGACTCCATCCAAATCTACCCAGGACCTAACTGTGGTTTTGCCCCATCTGGGTGTATTTATTTACTCTGGCTTAACTCTAAAAGGGGCCAGTCTAGTTGTGGTAGCTGGGGATTCCAATACACCAACAATGATTCCAGGGCCTCTACATAGTCAGAAGTCATTGTATCCAACTCAGAGATGCAGGGACACATTCTTTGCCTCCCCAATTCCTAAAAAGGAGTTTGCCTATTTTCTATGTAGTTTCACTCTTTCATTCTTCCCAGGCCATCACAGAAGATAGAAATTTAGCCTGGTCCTGTTTGAAAATATTATTATCACAAGTTACAAGATTTTAGCTTAAAATGTGCATGTGCATTTATATATGCTTATATACACAAACACACACACACACACCCACACACATATATATACACACATATATGCAGACATATGTATAAACTTGCTTCATAGATAGAACGTTTTTTAAAAGATAGGAAAGTATTATTTCAAAATGGAGATAAATAAGTATTTGAGGTCAGCAACCCATATCATCATAGGCCTGAAAGCTCAGGGGGAGGCTGTTTTCAGGAGGAAACATTCTTTGGGACAGAAAAACCAGGTTGAAAACATAATCCAGAATATCACAAAGAATGTACAGAAGATAAAGTTGGGATATAAAGGAGAAATGCAGACATTCCAATACCTATTCAATAAGAATTTCAGGAGAGAAACCAAGATGGCGGCATAGGTAAACACCAGAGATTGCTGCCTCACACAACCACTTCAAAAATACAACTAGAAGATGGAACGGACATCACCCAGAACCACAGGAAGGCTGGCTGAGTGGAAATTCCACAACTAGAAGGAAAGAGAAAAGCATACTGAGACTCAGAGGAGACGCAGTGCAGAAGTGAAATACTAAGGTGCGGAGGTGCATGCAGAGCGTGCTGGCGGCTGAGGGCACGGTTGGCGTTTTCAATCAGGAGGGAGTCTGAGATTCTGAGCTCCAGTTCCAGGTGAGTCTCTGGGAAATGAGTGAGA